TGGGGATGTTCCCTTCACTCCCCAGAACGTTCCAGCATGGTCAGTGAAGACACTGTGTCCCCCTAACCCTGGGGGAGAAGAGGATGGGCTTAATGCAAAGTAGGTTTCCTCTTTTCCACTGTTGAAGATGCTGGGGTCCCCACATCACTGTCCCCGCTGCATCTGGTCCACTTCTGGGCCCCATTTGGGTCCCTGGGCTTCCTGTGGCTGAGCCAGGATCACGCAGCGATGTGGGATTGCTCAGGGCGCCCCGTTCACTCCAGAGTGACCCCTGACCCAAAGCCAGTGCTGGGCGATTGCGGAAACCGAAACCAGGGCAGGTCTGAATCAGACCCTGCAGAACAATGAGACCTTTTGTGAGAATGAGGCGGGGGAGGGGCAGAGGGGAGACCAGGAGCTTCCTGACGGGGTCTGCAGCGCAGGCCACAGCGAGCAAATTCAGGGGGTGACCCTCGGAGGTCAGGTCACAGCCGAGCAGCACAGGCGCTGAGCTAAGTGTCCACAAAGGAGACAGACAAAGCGGCCGCTGTGGGAACAGAGTCAGTGTCGGTCAAGGCTGAGTGCAGGAGCTCGGGCCAGCTGGGCGGCCATGGGGGCTTCATGCTGGCTCCCCCAACAGTCAGGAGGGCCATGCACTGAGGAGGATCCTCAGCGTCCCCAGGATTGCTGGTGGGTTCACCTAGTAGTATTGCAGAGGTGATTCCACTAGCTGAGATTTTTCTGTTTTTTTTAGACGGAATCTCGCTCTGTCGCCCAGGCTGGAGTGCAGTGGCGCGATCAGCTCACTGCAACCTCCACCTCCGGGGTTCACGCCATTCTTCTGCCTCAGCCTCCCTACTAGCTGGGACTACAGGCACCCGCCACCACGCACGGCTAATTTTTTGTATTTTTAGTAGAGACGGGGTTTCACCGTGTTAGCCAGGATGGTCTCAATCTCCTGACCTCGTGATCCACCCGCCTCAGCCTCCCAAAGTGCTGGGATTACAGGCGTGAGACACCGTCCCCGGCCTAGTTGAGATATTTTTATCTAATGGATATTAAAGTGCATAAATAACTATTGATATAAAAATATACTTCCCATATTTATTTGTAAGTAAATTCATCAGACCCCCAAATACCCATGACTTCATGAGCCAGAGGTTTGCTTCTCTCCCATGTGACAGCCTCCGCGTCGGGGGTCCCGGGCTGGTTGGGCGGCTCCCGGGGCTGAGCCTCGACTCGCCCATCTTGGGCTCTGTCATTGACGGAGGCTTTTCTTGTCCAGTTGGTCCAAGGAGGTGCAAGTCACATCAGGCAGGAGGGAAGAGGAGAAGGGAAAGTGGGGCATACCCATGCATTTAAGGGTGCACTGGGAAGGTACACACCAGCTGCAAGGCAGGATGGGAAATTCAGTTTTGGTCTGGGCAGCTAAACTTTGGGATTTCTAATGTTAAATAAAGGGGATGAGGGGTATCAAGAGTCAGCCAGCAGCCTCTGCCCCCTCTATGTGCTCCTGGAAGTCATCTACTCTCCTACCAGGGGATCCCACCAGGGCATCCCACATTTTGTGAAAATTAGCTGATTAGGAGAGCATCCTTTCTGCACTACTGTGGAGGGGATGGGGGCTTAGGCACGAGCAGTTCCCTAAGTCATGGTTCAGGACCTCCCCCATCTTGGGAGAGCGAAGGCTGTCTATGGTGTCCGCCAACCCCAGTGCACACCCACACAGCTTTCCTGCTGCCTGTGCTGAGCCAGGCACTGTGCTTGAGACGTGCACGGTATTAGACGTGGAGTCAGCGTGGGTGGTGTCCGGACTCCCAAGTCACTCCACGGTGAGAGACTCGCAGGGTTCCAAGGACAAGTCAAAATAATTTGTTTTAGAGGTTGGTCAACTGGTGTCAACAGCTGGAGAGGGACTCATTCAAGGGCATGGGGCTGTAGGTGATGGAGCCAAGAGCCACCTGGGTCCCTGGGCTCTTTCCGGCGAACACCACCATGACCTCACTGGTCCTGAATGATCCCTTTTTACATTAAAGAGATACATGGTGACCAAATCAAACACCATTGAATCTTTCTGTTCCCTGCACACCTCAGAGACATCCACAAGTTTCCGCACATTATGTCCAAATCCTGAAAGAGGAGGCTTGGCCGGGTGCTGTGGCTCATGCCTGTAATCCTAGCACTCTGGGAGGCTGAGGCGGGTGGATTGAGACTCTGGGTGTTCAAGACCAGCCTGGGCAACACAGCAAAACCCTGTCTCTCCTAAAAAGACAAAAAGTTAGTCGGACGTGGTGGTGTGTGCCTGTAGTCCCTGCTGCTTGGGAGGCTGAGGTGGGAGAATCACCTGAGCCCAGGAGGTCAAGGCTACAGTGAACCAAGATCGTACCACTGCACTCCGGCCTGGGAAACCAGAGTGAGACCTGTCTCAAAGAAAAAAAGAAAAGAAAAGAAAGAAAGAGGAAGCCAGGGAAGCTATTCCTAGAGCTTTCAAGGTCTAGTGTTATCTAATGTCTGCTAAGCTAGATGAGAAGTTAGCTGTTATACCACCCACCAGCTCCTTTCCTGCTACGCTGTATGGTGCATCACTATTTTTAATTGCATCATAATCAACATTTATGTCCTGTGACCAGGGAAATGCTATTCTCTGCAGAGCTAAGTACTGTAATATAGTTGTATTTTTTTCTTATACACTTTTCATTTTTCCTAGAGTTCGTCATTTTCTTGTTCTTCGTTTTTTTTTTTTTGAGATGGAGTCTCACTGTCGCCAGGTTGGAGTGCAGTGGCACGACCTCCGCCTCCCGGGTTCAAGCAATTCTCCTGCCTCAGCCTCCCGAGTAGCTGGGATTACAGGCGTGACGCCGGCTAATTTTTGTATTTTTAGTAGAGACGGGGTTTCACCATATTGGCCAGGATGGTCTCGATTTCCTGACCTTGTGATCCGCCCGCCTCAGCCTCCCAAAGTGTTGGGATTACAGGCATGAGCCACTGCGCCCAGCCTTCTTGTTCTTTTTACTTGCAAAATTTACTTAGAGATACTTAATTATTTCTCAATTCTCCGTCATTGAATCCACTCGTGTTTTTCAAGCTGTTTTGATCACAACCATCATAAGAAATTATTTTACAATGGAACCTGGCGCGCACATGCTCATACACACACACACACACACACACACCCATATATATGAATATAAAGTTTCACAAAGTAGTACTGACACCTTTTGATATTTTCTACTCAACCCTGTGACGAGTGTTTTAAAGTGCCAGTTGCACCGCTGAACTGACGTTAGTTTGAGGAGCTCTGGGCCAGTCCCGCGAGTCCAGCTGCAAGGCAGGATGGGAAATTCAGTTTTGGTCTGGGCAGCTAAACTTTGGGATTTCTAATGTTAAATGAAGGGGATGAGGGGCAGGGCAGGTCTGAATCAGACCCTGCAGAACAATGAGACCTTTTGTGAGAATGAGGCGGGGGAGGGGCAGAGGGGAGACCAGGAGCTTCCTGACG